TTTTTTGTATTTTTTTAAGGGAAAGGTCTATAGGGTGCTCAGGGTCTCACTACTAGATCAGTCTCATAGTGATCCACCTATTTACAGCCTCCCAAGAGCTGAGATTACAGGCGCACATCACCACACCCAGTCTCAATTGCTAGATCAACACACCCTTGGGGTGGGGCTGGCACAGCAGGCCTGGGGATCAAACCCCCAGCTCCTGTGCCTGATTGCAGGTACTTTAATCCGTTGAGCTATTTGGCCTGCCCTGGAAGTTGTATTCAGAAAAAGGAAAGTTGCTTTTTTTTTTTTTTTTTTGACACGGGGTTTTGCAAGGTAGTGCAAGTTGGCCTCTAATTCACAGTGATCCTCCTGCCTCAGCTAAGTGCTAGGATAACAGGTGTGCACCACCATGCCCAGCTAAAGTTGCTATTCTTGAAAGGAATGTAACCTAAATATCTTGGAGCTTGGATTTATAGGCAATATTTTTCAATTCTACTGTACTTCAATGTATTTTATATATTTAGCATTCATTGCATGTATAAGAGAAATTTAAAAAAAACACTGGTGTCTTTCTGGCTAGCCTTTAATTGATAACTCACAAAAAATGCTTATCAAAAACAAGCTTCACTTCATCAATGACAGTTAAGTTCTTACTTCCACATAGTCGGTGGGAACAAGTCCTCGTCCTCCTTTGCTGTTTCTGCCCTCCAGCCATCCTCCACCAACATCCTAAAGAAGTTACCAAGGAAAATGAAGAGAAAAGATTATAGTTGGGATTTCCTGTGGAAATGCTTTGGGAATTGTTATAAACTGTTGGATTAAAAAGTAATTGATGTTAAGCTTTTTTGTTACAATAGAACACTATTCAAAATGTTAAATAAAAACAAGACAAACTGAACTTCAACAATAAGTGATCAACAACTGAAAACAGCCTTTCCTTAAATTACCATCACTTTGTGATTTTTATTTATTCACATAGTAAAAATGGTTGGAGCCTGTCAAATGGTGGAATGCACATCCCTACCCCGGAATCCGCACTGCCTGTTACGACTGCTCTGCCAGTAATGCTCGGGTGTTCAGAGTCTAACCTCAAGGGGCTCTACGTACTTCAGTTCACGCTCTCGGAACACGGAGCTGCTATGTGAATTAATCTGAGTTACTGGAAGATAAGTCTCTCTTTTGCCCCATCCATACCCGACATAGCCCCAGGAAAACTGCCAGGCAGCTACACCAATCATTTTAGACCATACAACCCCTGGCTGGGCCCAAGGGACTGTAGACAGCAGCACCGTACAATGACCCATAGATTCCTGAGCAGAAACCCTTGAATATTCGTTTAACACATTCATGACTGGGCCGTAGTTTGTATGTCTTGCTGCTGGGCAGCTTGAACCACCACCAATGGTATGTGCATCCTATCAGGTGGCTTTTTCATTATTTTATTAGTAAAAAAGATCAATAAAAGTGGTAAGATCAGTCTGTATCACAAGCCACTTGACATGTGTTAAATCACTAAGTTTGGGGATTGTTATGCAGAAACAGCTAACTACTTCATGGTCCTTAGTTCTCCTGGACAAAGAATATTGACAGACTAAACAGATATTGACAGAACTCTACAATAAGATTCCCATGTTTCTTAAAATCTCTGCAAAGTCTTGTTTTCCCCCTGAAATAGTTTTAAATTTATTAATAACGCCACAATTAATAATTATTTCAGTCTGGAGGGCCAGAGAGATAGCTCAGCGGACTAAACGTCTGCTTTGGCAAGTGCAGGGGCCAGGGTTTGATTTCTGGTCCTGCGTGTTGCACCAGCCCCGCCCCCGGGGTACACTGAGTCAGGGATCAAGTCCAGGGGTGGTGGCGCACGTCTGTAATCCCAGTGCTGGGAAGGCTGAAAACAGGAGGATCACTACGAGTCCAAGCTGAGTAGTGAGACCCTGTACCAAATATACACAAACACACCAAAAAAAAAAAAAAATAGATAAATAAGCATTATCTCCTTTCGGGGCTGGGGAGATGGCTCAGTGGAATAAGTGCTTCCCTGGCAAGCGCAAGGGCCTGAGTTCAATCCCCGGTTCTGCAAAAAAAAAAAAAAAAAAAAAAAAAAAAAAAGAAAGAAAGAAAGGAAAAAGAAAAAAATTATTTCAGTCTGGACAAACACATTCTTTTTGACACAGAAATCACACATATTTGTGGAGTATCATGATATTTTACTACTTTTCCAAACTGTGTAATTTTTAAGTAAAGGTATGTATATTTACCTCCTCAAACATTTGTCAGTTCTTTGTGGTGAAAACATTCAAAATCCTTTCCCTTAGTTTTGAAATATACAGTACATCAGAGTTAACCACACTATATTTATTTATTTATTTGGCGGAACTGGGGATTGCACTCAGGCCATTGTGCTTGCCAGGGAAGCACTTATTCTACTGAGTCATCTCCCTGGCCCCCAACCACATTATTTTAAAAATTCATTAAAAGTTGTAATAATTAAATTATGACTTGCTTCTTTATGACTGCAAAAGCCATAGGAAGACAATACTACTGTATATTAAAAAAAAGGAAATACTTCACTGAAAACAAGGCAGACAAAACAATCTTCAATCTCTCTTACAATTCAAATGGAGTCTGTTTATGTATACCTAGTGTATTACCCAAAATTACTCCATTATGTGTTCTATTCAATAATTCTTTTTTTTTTTGTATATAAGGCATACCAAACAGGCTTTTAAAAATCCCTTTCACTATAAGACAGTACTGTCATGTACCTTGCCACTTGAGCTTCTTCTTCCCTGACCTTTGTGTCCCCAGAATCACTCTCCACCTAGGACACACTGGTTCCTGCTCCTTTCTCCTCCTGACCCTTGCTCTGCACGGGAGCCTGCTGGTGGAAAAGATGTGGCTTTGACTCTTGTTCAGCCACTTAGAAGAAGAACGATCAAGGCCAAGTTACTCAATATTTGAGCCTCCTTACCCTGCCCTCATGGACTTCCTGTGGAAGTATGTTAAAGAACTTACACATGGTACTTGGTCAAAGGCCTTCCTCATCAGCTGTCAGAAAATGACAGCTGAGACTAGTAAAAAAACAAAGTACTTCTGATCAGATTTTTTTCAGTAATGGGGACTGAACCTACTGAGCTATATCCCTAGCTCTTTTTTTAAAAGAAAATATTTTGAGGCAGGATTGGGCTAGGCTGCTGTGGTGGCCCTCTAGAACTTCTGATCCTTCTCTATCAGCCTTCCTAGTAGCTAGAAATGGCTCTGACCATTCTTTGACTAAAATGTCCTTGCATTTGTCTGAAGAAACCCCATTTCAGGATTTGTCAGACAAAATTCACATTTTAAGATTTATCAAGTGAGATTTCATCTTTTGCACCAAAGCTTGATGGAAACACACACAGCAATAGGCCCCTCCTCTGCTGAGCTGCAGGCAGGAATGTCAACAACTCTGAACTTTCCTGCGTGCCACCCTGATCTCTTAGATCATAAGCTCCTAATGGAAGAGGGAAGAAAATTTCATAAAACCTGATACATATTCCTTATGGCACTTAGATCTAGCTTCATGCATAACAAGTGCATAATAAATCCTTACTGAACAAAAAAAAATGTTTTGGATAAATCTGAAATTCACAATGTTTTAGGGAATAAAATGATATTGTAGGTAGGTACTGTAGCACATGCAGGTAATCCCAGCTACTCAGGAGGTTGAGGCAAGGGGATTATAAATTCAAGGCCAGTCTGAAAGAGCATAGCCATATTCTTTCTTAAAACAACAAAAAAAATGAGGGGGCCGGGGATATGGCTCAGTGGGATAAGCACTTCCCTGGCAAGCGCAAGGGCCTGAG